AAAGAATAAAACTTCTTAAAGCAAGTGCAGTCTCCGCTTAACAGAGATTGTTACTGCAATCAAATGTAGTCAAAAAAACATTACACTACAATAAGTATCTTGAAAGAGAGAGATCATATTCAGATAACTTTTATTACAGCATATTGCTACCATTGTTCTATTTTATTATTAGATATTATCTCTTACTGTGCCTGATTCATAAATTAAACTTAACCATAGGTGTACATGTATGAAAAAAACGTGTGTGTGTGTGTGTGTGTGTGTGTGTGTGTGTGTGTGTGTTTAAGTATTATCTGTGGCTTCCCTAAGGCATCCATTAGGGATCTTAGAACACATCTTGCACAAGTAAGAAGGGTCTATTGTAGCTATAATAATGTATTAAAGATACAAATTACAAAAAAGATGTAAATTATGACATCAAAAACGTAAAATGTGTGGGGAGGAGAGAAAAATATATCATATTTTATGATTTTATGTGATCAAAGTTAAGTTATTAGCTTAAAATAGCCTGTTGCTAAGTATAAGATGTTTCAGACAAGTCTCATAGTAATCACAAAACAAAAAGCAAAAGTGGGCACACAAATATAAAAAGAAAGAATTCAAAACACACTACCAAAAAATTAACAAACCATAAAGGAAGACAGCTGGAGAGAAAGAAAAGAACAAAAAATCTGTATCACAACCATAAAACAATTAACAAAATAACACTAATAAGTCCTTATGTATTAATAATTAAATTGAATGTAAATATATTTAATTCTCCAATAAAAATTCATAGAGTGACCTTGAATAATAAACAAGACTCAACTATATGCTGTGTACAAGAGACTTAGTTCTCTTATAAGGACACATAAACTGCAAGTGAAAGGGTAGAAAAGATGTCATGCAAGTGGAAACCAAAGAGAGTATAGGTAGCTATACTTTTATTCGACAAAAAGCACTTTTAAGTTAAAAACTGTAAAAAGAGACAAAGAAGGTCATTGTATAATAATAAGGGATCAATGTAGCAATCATAAATATAAATGCACCCAGCATTGGAGCACCAAAATATATGTAAAGTAAATAATGAATGATCTAAAAGGAGGGATAGACTGCAATACAATGATAATAGGGGCCAACAGTACCCCACTTTTAACAATGGAAAGATCATCCTAACAATAAGAAAGCACTGGACTTGAACTACATTTTAGGCCAAAATAACATAACAGACATATAAATCATCTACCTGACAGTTGCAAAATGCATTCTTCTCAAATGCACAAGAAATATTCTCTAAGATAGACTATATTTTAGACCATAAAATGAATCTTTACAAGTATCTTTATTGCTCATAATGGCATAAAACTAGAAATCATAAACAGAAACTATCTTGGAAAATTCACAAATATGTGGAAAATAAATAATATGATTCTGAACAACCAATGAGTCAAAGAAGAAATCAAAGGGAAAACTTAAAATACCTTGGGACAAATGTAGACAGAAACACAACATACCAAAAGTTGTGGCATGCAGCAATAGTAGTTTTATGAGGTAAGTCTACAGTAATAAATGCTTATATTAAAAAACTCAAACAAAAAATCTAATGTTATACCTCAAGGAAGTAGAAAATGAAGAATAAAATAAGTCCAAGGTTAACCGAAGGAAGAAAATAACAAAGAGAAGAAATAAATATTAGTAGAACAATTTTTTTTTAATTTGTGTTTTAATATACTTTTTTATGCATTGTGAGCTGCTTTATTACAGTACATTGAACTGTTTGCCAAACAGTGAACTATGTTATCAGGTGTTTAGAATATGCTGTTTTATATATATTCTCTACCATCTTGCCTTACCTTGAAGGGTTTGCATATATGTCAAAAAGCTATATCTGAGCATGCTTAGGAAAACAATTTTAAAAATCAATAAAACTAAGAGTACATTTTTTGAAAAGATAAAATCAATAAACCCTTGGCTAGACTAACTAAGGAAAAGGGAGAAGATACAAATAAATAAAATAAGAAATGAAAGAGGATACATTACAACTGATACTGCAGAAATTTTTTTAAAGCTTTTGTTAACAATTACACATCAGCAAATTGAATAACCTAAAAGAAATGAACAAGTTCCAGAAAATATAAAACCTACAAAGACTGAATCATGAAGAAATAGAAAATCTAAATAGTCTAAAAAGGAAATTAAATCAGTAATTTAAAAGTCTCATTAAATAAAAACCCAATACTTGATGATTTTATGACTGAATGTTAACAAACAATTAAAGAAGAGTTAATGCACAACTTAGGTTTTAAAAGAGTAACCTGATATATATCACTCATGGTAAACACATTCTCAAACTCTTCCAAAAATTTGAGGTGCAAGAAATACTTCCAAACTCATTTTACTGTATCGCTCTGATAGGAAAGCTAGACAAGGAGAGTACAAGAAAATAAAATTATAGGCCAATATACTTGATAAACATAGATACAAAAATTCTCAACAAAATACTAGACAGCAGTTGAAGTTATTGAACTAGAACAATTTGTATCAACATGGATCAAACTCAAATTAATCTGTAGTGAAAAAGACAAGTTGGGAATGAGAGATCTCGTATGATACCATTTACATAAAATGTTAACAAAAGTCAATACTAGACACCGTATTTAGATACATGCATACATACGTATGTGCATGCATGCATACATACATATGTATGTGCATGCATGCATACATATGTGCGTGCATGCATACATACATATGTGCATGCATGCATACATATGTGTGTGCATGCATACATACATATGTGCATGCTTGCATACATATAGTAAAAGCATAAAACAAGCATGGCAATAATTTATACCAAAGTTGGAATAATATTTTCTTCTGGAAAGGAAAGAGGAAAGAATAGGAAAGAGTCATAGATTACTTCAACATTATTTGTAATGCTTTGTTTTCCCCTAAGAAAAAGCCTGTTCTAATACATAAAGCAAATCCTTTTAAAAATCTAAAAACTGTATGGAACTTACACTAGGGTTCATTTATTCTCTCTATAGTTATTCACGTGTGAAATTTTTATTTAAAGAACAAATGAAAGAGAAAAGTATGATCCTTAGCAGCAATTTCATTCTGAAATTTTTTTTTTATTTTTTTTATTTTTTTTTATTTTTTTGAAAGTAGGTTGTATTGAGAAGACAGAAAAATTTTTTTATTTTTTATTTTTTTGAAGGTAGGTCGTATTGAGAAGACAGAAAACTCCCACAGTGGGAGGGGACCCAAGGGTGTTGCCCCAAAATTCTTTTTTAAAGAAAAAAATGCAGGCTATTTGCTTCACACACACCCCATTATAAAGTGGGCAAAAGATGTGAACAGACACTTCTCAAAGGAAGACATCTGAGCAGCCAACAGACACATGAAGAAATGTTCAACCTCACTAATCATCAAGGAGATGCAAATCAAAACCACACTGAGATACCACCTAACTCCAGTCTGAATTACAACTATCAATAACTCAAAAAATAACAGTTGCTGGAGAGAGTGTGGGGAAAAGGGAACACTTCTACACTGTTGGTGGGAGTGCAAACTTGTGCAACCTCTGTGGAAAACAATCTGGTGATTCCTAAAAGCTCTAAATATTGACGTCCCATGTATCCCCTACTGGGAATATACTCTGAAGAACTCAAATCACTCTATCAAAAAGATACCTGCACACGTATGTTTATCGAGCATTGTTCACCATAGCAAGAACCTGGAACCAACCATGCTGTCCATCAAAAGAGGACTGGATTTTTAAAATGTGGTGCATATACATGATGGAATACTACGCA